AGTCCACCATCTCTCCCTCACCCTCTAGCTACCTCACTTCTCAGTATCGTCAGACTACGAGTGAAAGAGAGAGAGAGAGATTTGCGACTTTGGGATTTGACGACATTTGGATTCAGACTCGACATTGGATGGGGGATTATTTGGGATCTATATCGAGGACTTGGTGTTGACGACATCCGCATCCTCCCTTCCTCTTCGTCTGACCTCCCTCCTCCTCATCCATGTATGATCTGAGCCTGGCGCATTCTTCCAGTGTGCAGCGCCTGGCCCCTTCACACCTTGTGATGACGACGATGTATGTTTGGTCTGCATTGCGACATTGATTGGTCTAACCATTGGTATTTAGTCTTCCGCTGTGCTATCCTATACTATGAGCGAGAGAGGTTGGTCTGCACCATTACGGTATGCGACACAGCAGCTCCCTGCAGGTGAGATAGAGAGGAGGACGACATCTTCTTCTTCTTCTACATCTCACCCTCCATCTCTTCTCCCTCTTTCCTCCTTCCTCTTCTCCTTCCTCTTCTTCTTCTTCTTCAGATACGGAGAGAGAGAGATTACAGGCAGAGGATACCTCGGGCAGGGTGCCCAGGATCTGGTATGACATTTTTGAGGCAGGCATTGATTGGACATCTGGCAAGGGACTATTTTTGGACTTCGCTGTTGCAATCTTGGTCTTCTCCCTCGCCTCCTTCTTCGTCTCGCCTCTCCTCCCCCAATCTCTCATCCGAAGTATCTTCCCCACTGCGAGTGCAAGGAGGGACCTTTCTTTTATGTTTGCCGTCCCTCCTCTCACACGTGTGATGTATGATGGGATGTCACGTCAGTATCCGACAGGTCAGGTAATATCTTTGAGTCTTCCGCTGCGCTACAATGTGCTACTTTCATATGTATCTGGATGTACTTTGATTGTTGATGCTTTGCTGGCATTGCATTGTCCAGACGAGTCCTTTTCATCACTTTGCAGATTCTTGGCTCCCACACATTGCCCAACGGGGCATGTGTCACCAAGTGTCTCCCTTAAGGTCAGATTCCAGGCGTGAGTGCCTCTCACTGTCGCCTCTCTCAACTGTTGCATGGAGTCCTCTTGATGTGTCTCGCCACCACATACTTACTCTCAAACAACCTGGTCAGGTTCAATGCCGACCCAGCATGACCTAACCAGGTGGGGGCAGCTTCCCCAAGCCACGCTGCCCCACTTCCCACTTCGGACCAACCC